GTGTAGGGCACACCATGATGCGTCAGGTAGTCGTGGTAGTGTATCTGTAGGTAGCAGCATGGTGGGATTGGCCGTGACCAGGTTCGGTCGTAGGTGCACAGCATGTATGCGGACTTGTGCTGCATTTCGCCCCCGCTAAAGATGATGTGGTGAGGATCTAATCTGACAAGATGGATCAGATAATCAAGTACTTTTGTATGTACTGCTTGGGGTGGAGGGAAGTACCTTGTCCCGCATCTGGCGCAGTGGTGGTGTTCTTTCTTTGATCCGAGCGACAAAGCTGTCTCGCGTCCTCTCATCGGGTACCCGACCAGACCGACCGGAGACCGGACGGCAGTGAGTGCCGGCTCCGTAGGCTGGGCCGGGATAGAGTGCGAAGCAATATGAAAGATCCTGTCATGCCGGACCTGGGTCGTTCGGTGAGGACATGTCTTCAGACGACGAGATGGAGACTGGGCCGGCGGAGGAGAGACCAGATGGCAGGGGCGCTCTCAGAGCAACATCCAGAATTGGCATTCGTCGCCCGATGGCCCGTCGGAGTTTGGAGGGGTGGGTAGGAGGACTCCATCGCTGTCGGTCGGTAAGGTATGTACAATACGACCCCTAAATGTTTGTTACCCTCCATACCAGCAAAGTGCTCCGCCAAAATCGACGCTCTCCACAGAATTACTCAGCATAGATTCTCCATTCGCCATCAGACCTTGACCAGTAATATGCACTTACTAGGGCAAAGTACCACGCTTACACTCTTTCAGGGGGTATATTGTACGGCTCATGATGGAAGTATTCTGGAGACGGATGAAGTTGCAATGGAGCCTCTGCGCGAATTTCGGTAGGTGTGTCTCTGGAGATGGATGGAATCAGCGATGGAGGTGCTAAGAGAGGTGGCCGTGCCGAATTGGAGCAGGTTATCTGATGATCTGATTATCTAAATCTGATAAGATCCGGGTCTAATTAGGTAAGGCGTACGTACCTGCTGTATTGGGCCCAGCAGCGATGCCACGATGGCCCTAGCACACCTGGGCTCATGCCTGGCAGACGCCCCCTGCCTGCTACGACCAAGCAACTTTAGCGCCCAAGCCCACTGCACATCCACTGACGATCATCCACCGGGCACCTCAAGTCTCTTCCAGCAGTCACAGCAAAGGCAGGGGCACATGAAGAAAAATTCGACAGACACCTGCCCTGCCTGAGGTGCCTGCCTGCCTTCACAGTGTTCTCACAGAAATAGGTAACCACGCCTGGCACCTACGGATACCTCCTGCCTCCTGCCTCCTGCCTCCTGCCTCCCCATACCTGAGGTAGGCATCATATTCCATGAGGCAGGTACTGTGAAGCAGGTACCTGCCTTCCTCGCACCAAACGACGCAGCGACAGGGAAGGTGGAAAATTTCTTCACTTCGATTCCCACCCACCACGACGCACCTCGACCTCTACGCAGTGCGAATACCTCCTCTTCGTCCTCCAATGTACATCCCCTGCCCAACCTCATGCTCATCCATGTCGTTCCCCCTTCTCCAGCCAAGAATCCTCGTGGATTCCCCTCTTTCTCCCTCGCTGTCACCCACCTCACCTCGCCTCACATCGCCGTCCACACCCTCTCCTGTGGTCCTCGAGACCCTCAGAACTGAACAAGTACCTGCTTCGTCTGCACAACCACACCCAGGCCTCCAAGCCCGCGATGACCTTCCGTCTGGTCTCTCGATCCAGTCCATGAACGGCGGAGCTCCAGTTGATCCATCCATCCATTATGCCCCATGATCATTGGCGCCATCCACCACCACCGACATCATCCAACCCTTCATTCCTTGGCTCGTCCATGGCCCATAGTCCACTCATTCGCAGCCATGCCACGCCGTCGCTGTACCTTCGACCACCGTGGAGGGGAACAGACAATGGAGTCTGAAGGCTACTGTTGGGCCTGTCCTCTAACCCGCAAGCAAGCCTCCACGCCCTGGGGAGCTCCCAGTTGCTGTCTGCCGGAATCCCAGCCTTTCAAACTCGACATCCCGAACATCGCAGCCATTGACCGCATTCTCTCGACGCCCTTACCTTGTCTCGCCCAGCTCCGGACGCGCACTCACCGCACCTGTGACTTTGGGCGCTTTTCATCAGCTCATCAGACGTTTCTTACGGATACAATTCCATCCAGTCGTTGACAATAGACGCCTTCAACTTTCAAGTACACGCAGAATCCACGCGGAATTACGTACTGCGTTCGACTCAGCTTGCCCCCACCTCTGGGCCACACACTCCACGCTGCTCGGGTCTGTCGACCACACCTCACCTTGCCCATCCCTCCATTGGACGGGCCGCAGAGGTGACGAGACCTGTGATTCTGTGACAGGTCCCCACGTCGTCTGGGCTCTGCAGAACTCCGATGGATGTTGCTCCAATGTCGCCCGCCGCACATCCATACGCAACCAGCCTCAGTTCTGCTACCGCCGAGCTCGCCTACGCGCGCACATGGAACCGTCCAACCCCAAAAGTCCATTCTTGAACGCCTCTAGCCTCGGCCGTACAGCCAAAGAGAACGCCGCACCATCCCACCGGCGCCGGGCTTACGGCGGATGCCACAATGTCTTCACACGCACGTTCATCAACATCTGGCTCAGGCAGGTGAGATGCATTTCCGCCTAGCCCACCATCTCTGCTCTTGGTCGGCCGAGGACGAACAAAGTACATACGTGATACATCTTCATCTCTTGCCTCGACATGTAAAGGGTGGGGAAGTGAGTGGTACCCCCCCAAAATCAAAGAGCTCCGCGGCGCGGCGCGGTACCATATCTTGGATGCCCTCCAAAGTCAAGTACCCGGAGAGTTTGCCGATTCCAGAAACCGTTGCCCGGCAGTCAGACGAGATCGGCCACCCGCCGCGAACACGGATGAGCACGATGCGGATCATGGCGTGGCATCTGGGGGAGAATGGCCTGTTCTGGATGCGCCGTCATATTTCACCATGCTGCAGAACCCCAGTATCTTGGGACTTTGCGCCTATTTCCGAAGCTGGAGACGCAATAACTACCCGTGGAGACTCTGGATTAAGCCTTGGAGATCGTGTGTCGCTCGCCGGAGACTGCCGCCAGGCGATTGTTGAAGAAAGTTTCCTGTCAAACACTCCAGCGGCTCGGGGCCGGCGACGTCGGGACACTTTGTGATCGGCCTTGGTACAAATACGGAAGGGGATGCATGTCCAGCGATCCAAATCCAACAACGGCTCCACGGTGCACAACAGCTGTCACTGTCAGGAGCGTCTCCCGGCCACAAGATCGGATAGGGCTGCCGGCCAACGGCATGCCATGCGATGTTTCTCGTCATGCGTTGCCTCACCCTACTTATGTCATGCGGGTTCGCCACGGAGCTGGTGCTGCTGCCGCCGCAACAGTTTGGTTCGGTTATGTTTCGTTTAATTTGCTTGACTCTTCTCACTGTTACTCTTTCATAGTTACACTGCACCCCACCTCCAAGTAGGACAAGATGCAGCACGAAAACACAACATACAAAGTCTGGGAAATCTTGTCCCTCCCGAGATGATCCAAGACGGACATCCTAGTTGCTAAAAAGGCTCTGAACGGCCCGTCGAAGCTTATCCCACAGCGGCGTCCGTCCCCCGATGGCGCGGCGCATTTTTTGCCAGTCATGACGCCATAAGCGCCGGATCTGCCCCTCAGGGCCCTGGATCCTCCCTTCGGTTGTTTTCTGGTAATGCCGCTCCGGGAGCATGGAGCATCTCTGTTTGGCCGGCCCCAGCCCGGTGTCCAACGCGTGTGGGATGTGTGATGGAATCCAATCCCACGAGACAAGTCACAAAACTAGGGGATAACCAATGCAGACCTAGATGGTACTACCTTGTTGATGGTACAGCGACTCAATCCAAGGCAAGAGTTTTAGTCGCCCAAGCCGCCAGCAGCTGACGCCGCGCCTCCCAGCCAGCAGACAGCAGCCGACAAGGCAAAGCAAGCCATCATCTGGCCAGCATTAGCTAGGTAGCTAATTAGCTACCTCACTCTCACCTCCAGTCAGCTTCCGCCGAGAGCGATCTCCCCCTTCTTCGGTCCTTTTTTTCTCTTCTATTGTTTTTTGCCCTTCTTGTACAGCTGCAAGCGCAACAGACAGCACCCAGTCATATTCACGCTGTTATTCCCGCCGTCTCTGCGGAGAGAGTACATACGCATAGTACCACCCCCGCGACTGCGTACCAAACTCTTCGACGGTAGCATCTGCAGCAGCAGATCACCAGCGAGCCCATATCTTCAACTTAGATTACAGCACGCCCATCATCACAGATTCCCCATACTTCACGCACGCACACGCGGGCGCTATCCATTACCTGCACCAAAGTACCACCTGTCAGACATACGCACAGGTCAACTGGGGCACATCGCACAGGGCCGAGCCGTCTTGGAACTAGCCGTCTTCTACCAACACGCCGTCATCACCCACGAATGAACGAGCTCATAATTCATCATCGACAACCAAAGCTTTGGCATCCCTTCTGCATTGCGCTGCAGAATCGCTGTATGCTTCCCGCCAGCTGAGTAATTGCTGCAATCTTACAGGCCCGGCAGCCCACAGCCGACCCCGTGTCAACCCCTCGCCTGCCCCCGTGGCATGTTGCCCAGCGCCCCAAATAAGCAAACACGCCGTTGCAGCCACCAGATCTGTGAATCATCATCCTTCTCATTGGTCGACCTCCTCCCCGGCGCGTGGTCTCTTTGACCTCCTTCTGCAGGTCCATCTTCATCTGGCCCCGGGCGCATTGACCGTTGTGCCTGTGCCTGTTTCCGTTGAAAAGAGGGCCCGACTAATACGTGAGTCCCTTTTTGTAATGTCTGGAGACTAATGCCAGAGCTCTGCTTGCTTCGCGTACAAGCACCCATCGGACCACTCTCGCCCTCCCTCGCGCAAGAAGGGCCTTCCCTGAATCACCTCACCAACTCTGGAATAGCATCATTTCTTCTCCAAGCCCCTCTGTCATCACCATCACCATTAGCATCACCATGAACGACAGTGAGCCTGAGCCCGAGCTCAAGCTCTCGATATTGAATCCTCACCCGCAGAGGGTCCCCGGGCCTCATCTTCTTCACGAGCTCGTGCATTTTTCTTCAGATGATTCCATTCCCGCAATACACTCCCTTGATGCCCAAGGACGAGAATCAACATGGTCCTATTCACAGCTCCATCGGTCTGCAGATGTGCTGGCAGCGCGCATATCTGCCGTCGCAAAAATTCGTCCCAAAGACGAGGAGTTCGTCGTGCCTCTGTTGGTTCCGCAATGTCCACAACTCTACATCTCGATGCTGGCCATCCTCAAAGCAGGGGGAGCTTTCTGTCCGTTAAATCTCGACGCGCCTCCGGAGCGAGTGAGGTTCATCCTCCAGGATGTTGCGGCCAAGGTGGTCATTGTCAGCCGCGAACTGGCAACCAAGATTCCTCAAGATGACCAAGAGAGGACCATTCTGATAGTGGACGAGGATGCGGTCGAAGATTCTCCCGTCCCCAAGATATCAGAGTCAGAAACAATACCCCAGCGTCTTGCATACGTTATGTACACATCTGGTTCCACTGGGACGCCCAAGGGTGTAGGAGTCTCTCACGAAGCAGCGACACAGAGTCTTTTGGCTCATAACAAACACATCCCGAGCTTCAGACGCTTTCTCCAGTTCGCATCACCGACTTTCGATGTTTCCGTTTTCGAAATCTTCTTCCCGCTCTTCCGTGGATGCACCCTAGTCACTTGCGACCGCGGCCGCATGCTCAACGACCTGCCCGACGTTATAAGAACTCTGCAAGTTGATGCCTGCGAACTGACTCCCACTGTCGCTGGCAGCCTGTTGCGACTGCGGCAAAACGCGCCTGGCTTGAGGTTGCTGTTGACGATCGGCGAGATGTTGACTGAAGCTGTTGTCAATGAGTTTGGTGGTAGTGAGGAGGCTGAGAGCATACTATGGGGCATGTACGGCCCGACAGAAGCGGCCATTCATTGGTAAGTCGCCGATCCGCAATACGCAGGCCAAGACTAACACCGTGCAGCACGCTCCGGCCGGAATATCCCACAACTTGCCCTGCCTCGAATATTGGTTTCCCTCTCAAATCTGTTTCATGCTTTGTTGCTGCCATTCCTGATGAAGGTACTCCTTACGAATTCAGGATCTTGCCGCTCGGCGAGACTGGTGAGCTTGTTGTCGGCGGCCACCAGCTTGCAAACGGCTATCTTAACAGACCCGAACAAACATCTGCTGCATTTCTTGATACCCCGTTTGGTCGTGTCTACCGCACAGGAGACAAGGCAAAGATGAACCCAGACGGGACGTTGGAGTGTCTTGGACGTATATCTGATGGCCAGGTGAAGCTTCGCGGGCAGCGCATTGAGCTCGGCGAAGTGGAACAAGCTGCCATGCGCGCAAGTGGATGCCATAGTGCCGTCGCGATGGTATTGGCTGGTATCCTGGTCGTATTCTGCGCCATGGATGATGATGCAAATTCCAACGACCATGTAGAAGACATCCTCGCTACTTGCGCCAAGTGGCTTCCATCCTTCATGGTTCCTGGAGATGTTATTCTCATGACCAGTTTCCCAAGGTTACCTTCAGGCAAGGTTGATCGGAAGTTGCTCAAAAGTGATTATGAGGTCGCCAAGATCTCACCACCCACGAGCTCGTCGGAGTTGACCGATCCTTTGCTGCGAGAAGTGGCAACAGCCATTTCGGACCTCCTCGGCTTTGAGGTCTCGCCATCGACACAACTGGGCTCTTCAGGTGTCGACTCTCTCATGACCATTAGACTGGCTTCGGCGCTGAGGGAGAAAGGGTTCAATGTGTCTGCAACGGATGTCCTCGAATCTAGGGATGTGTCCTCACTATGTTCTCGGCTGGCAGCATCATCAGACTCGACGGGAGATGCATCTGCAAAGTATTCGGAAATACCTATCAATCAGGTCTTAGAACAGCACCGGGATCTTGACTCAATACAGAGCGATATTGAAGCTGTCCATTGGTGCACACCACTGCAGAATGCAATGCTTGCGGAAACGGCGGTCAACTCTCAAGCCTACTGCAACTGGATCGAGCTCGAAATCCCAACTGGATCCACCACTCATGATGCGGAAAAGTGGATTCGCGATGTTGCGTCAGTCAACAGCATCTTTCGCTCTGGATTCATCCCTCTTGGCAGAGGTTTTGCGCAAGTCGTTTTCCATCGGCTGTCGGAGTCTTCCGTCACACATGTCGAGCAGCTCGATCGGAGTTTTTCCATCTCATCAGACAGGGAGTTTCTCCGTCCGCTTAGAGTTCAGATCTGCCAATCGGATTCCGACGATGGTGGTTCCATCTTGTTGCAGATCCACCATGCACTGTACGATGGGTGGTCCGCCGACATGCTTCTTGAAGATCTCTCAGCTCTAGCCCAGGGCAAACCGATTAAGTCGCATCCACAATTTCAAGATGTGGCCAACTTCTTCAGTGATCCCACCACGACACGGCAGCTTGACGACGCACGCAGTTTCTGGGCGGAAAACCTGCTTGGCTGGCAAAGACATAGCTTGCCACGCCTTATGGGCCGTCTTCCTGAAACGATAGAGGTTCTGACAACGAGACGAACTCTGGATATTTCACAAGTCGACTTGGATGAAGGGGCGAAACAATTACAATGCCATCCGCAGGTCTTCTTCCAAGCAGCTCTATCATGGCTTTGGGCTGGACTGCAGGGTCAACCTGACGTGGTCATCGGCTCCGTGTCTTCGGGTAGGACGATTCCAGTCACCAATGTTGAGCATATCATGGGACCTTGCATCTCATCGACCCCATTGCGAGTTGATTTGAGGGGGCTAAGTTCGATTGCCGATCTCATTCGAGCGATCCATGCCACTAACCGCCAGGTTTTGCAGCATGGCATCCTTCCACTGAACGAGATCAAGAAGTTGACTGGTCTGAGCCCTGGTGACTCGATCTATGATGTTCTCTTCGTTTACCAAGAATCTCTGTACAGTCAGAACCGCACCACTGGCCAAGTGCGGGAGGTCGCCCATCAGGATTTCCTGGAAACGGGTCTACTCGTCGAGGTTGAGCCAACTGCCAACGGTCCGAGCTGCCGTATCACCCACCATACCAATGCAATTTCGAGAGAGCACGCGAGTCTGCTGGTGCACCAGCTTGAGTCTGTGGTACTTCACCTTCTTCGAAATCCAAAGTCTCACATCAACACAATCAGCAACAACTCCTCCCCAGACCTGAGATCAATATTCAATGACGCCCCGTCAACTTTGAACGATGTGCCTGATCTGGCTTCCATTTTCGAGCGAGCAGCAGACCTCACACCGGATGCAATTGCGGTTCGCTTTGCCACGTTGCTCGAGGATGACGCGGTCGAGACCGTGTCTTACAGCGAGTTGAACGCTTCGGCAAATAAAATCGCTCACTGCTTGCAAGATTGTGGAGCCAAGGAGGGCGGTATCGTCGGCCTCGTTATGGAGAAGTCGATCCCGCTTTATGCCGCAATGCTGGGAATTTTGAAGGCTGGATGTGCATATCTCCCTCTCTTACCAAGTTCACCCGCCGAGAGAGTAAGAGGCATCTTGACGCAGGCAGATGTTACTGTATGTGTCGCTGACAGCGAAGTCTCGGCTGCTCTGACGGAGGTTACGAACTGTCACTTCATCGACGTCCGCAGAACCGACATGTCGATCATCTCCTCCGACAACCTCTCCATTCCACCCAATCCGTCACGGCCAGCCTATGTCATCTATACTTCTGGCACAACAGGCAAGCCAAAAGGTGTCGTCGTCACGCAGCTAAACATCGCGGGCAATCTTGACGTCCTCTCCCGCATCTATCCACACGCACCAACTTCGCGTTTACTACAAGCATGTTCTCAGGCGTTCGACGTGTCGGTTTTTGAAATTTTCTTCACTTGGAAGGTTGGCGCTTGTTTGTGCTCTGGCACCAATGATACCCTTTTCGAAGACCTGGAGCGGGCTATCCGCTTCTTTGGGTGCACGCATCTTAGCATGACTCCCACCGTTGCGTCTCTCGTAGACCCGCGCAACGTTCCGGGCGTAGAGTTTTTGGTTACGGCAGGCGAGCCGATGACAACAGTCGTCGCAAAGAAGTGGACGGGACATCTGTACCAGGGTGAGTTGAAACCGATTTTCAAGACCGCTTTCGGAGGCTAATACTTTCCAGGATATGGCCCAGCTGAAACGACCAACATCTGTACTGTCAAGAAGATGAAGCCAGGTGACTTCATAGACCACCTCGGATTTTCGTTTGAGAATACCTCAACAATAGTCCTGAGCTCTGAAAGTCTGGATCCCCTGCCTATAGCGTTTGCGGGTGAATTGTGTTTTGGAGGTGACCAAGTGGCGGCGGGATACTTGGGCATGCCAGAACTCACCAATTCGAAGTTCGTCAACCACCCCCAATTAGGCCGGATCTACCGATCTGGAGACATGGGCCGTATGCTTCCTGACGGCTCGCTCATGGTACTGGGCCGTATGGACGATCAATTAAAGCTGCGCGGTCAACGTATCGACACAGGCGAAATCAGCAGCATTCTCACCACTTCTGGTCTTGCAACCTCCAGCGCGGCTGTCATCGTCAGCCGCAATAACTCGCCCGCTACGCAACTTGCCGTTTTCTACGTTCCTACAGACAACGGCAATTCTGAGCACATGATGTTGCCAATTGATGACAGACTGGCTAAAGCCAACCGCACCCTTTTTGGACTTCTGCGGTCTCAGTTGCCGACCTACATGGTTCCTACCTATCTCTTCCCTATTAGCTCCATCCCCCTCACGTCAAGTGGAAAGATCGATAGAGCTGCAATGCAAGCCTCATTTCGCGAGTTCTCTCGTGAGCACTTGGACCTAGCTGCTGGCTCCAACGAGGAGCATGACGACGAAAACGCTTGGTCTGACCAGGAAAAGACCATTGCGCTTGTTCTTTCGCAAGACTTGAGCATTCCGTTGGAAGACATCACGCGCTGGCAGCCGTTTGCTGCGGTGGGCCTGGACTCTATCTCGGCCATCTCCCTGGCGAGGGCTTTGCGGGGTTCGTTCTCGGCCAAGATTCCCGTGTCTTTGATCTTGCGGTGCGGAAGTGTCGCTCGTCTGGCACAAGAAATTTCGACTCAGCAGACAGAAGACGAAACTCAAAGCATGAATGCATCAGCTTCTATGTTTCCCGATGAGTATGTCGAGGCTATCAAAGAAGACTTTGCCAAGGAAGGGCAAGAGGTTTCCACCGTGTTGCCTTGCACTCCACTCCAAGAAGCCATGCTGTCTTCAACAGCTGGCTCGTCCTACTCCAACCAGCTCATTTTCAAATTGAGAATCCCCGAGTCAGATATGAAGGGGTACTGGGAGGAGATGTGCCAACGCCATACTATTCTCCGCACTTGCTTCATCACCACAACAGAATCTCGAAGAGCCGTCGCGCAAGTTGTGCTTAGCTCGTGGACAATGCCTTGGCACAATATAGAAGCAGAAAGCTTACGAGATGGAGCCGAAAATCACACGAGGAACCTTTCTAGTTGTTTGAACTCGAAGATTCCCCCTGTTTCTCTCGCGGTAATCAAGTCTGAGAGCCTGAGCCACCTCTCATTCGTCTGTCATCATGCACTCTACGATGGCGTGGCAATCGACGTTCTCCTCACGGAAATCGAGCAGCTAGCCAGTGGAAAGCCGCTACAACCACCTGTTGACTACCTTCCTGTCCTTCACGAAATTATCGGTTCTCCGGACGGAAGCAATTCCTTCTGGAAGACACAATTTGATGGGTTCAAGTCTGCACAACACCAACTCTCCGTCAGGTCTGCTGAGACAATTGAGAGACAGGGGCCCTTGGTGGTCACAAACCTGCTCGAAACTTCTCTCAGCGACCTCCAATCAGTCTCCAAGGCTACGGGAGTTTCAACATTATCATTCTTCCAGACTGTATGGTCTGTATTCTTGAGCATTGTCTATAACGAAACAGACGTATGCTTTGGCAATGTCATGAGTGGAAGGGCATTGAGTCACGAAGGCATTGATCGGTTGGTTGCGCCTTGCTTCAATACCTTACCCATTCGGATCGAGCTTCCAGCGTCGGCCCAATTTGTCACGATGCTCAGGAAATTCCAAAATCTCAACCCTCGCCTTCTGGAACGACAATTCACGCCTCTGCGCTCCGTTCAGAATCAGGTTACCAAAAGTGGAATGCAGCTCTTTGACTCTCTCCTTCTCATGCAGCAGCCTCGCTCGGAACGCGATGCATCTGTCTGGGAGGTGGTTGAAGATAATGGAGCCATGGACGTGCCTCTGGTCTGTGAAATTACTCCAGAACCCCGCAGTGACTCTATATCCATCAAGCTCCACTGCAACAGCGAGCTCATGACAACAGAGGCCCTAACGAGCTTGCTTCGCGTCTTTCTGCATTTAGTTGCGAAGGCAGCCAAGCATCCCGCTTCCAGCGTCCCTTCCCGAGAAAATCTCCCCATAGACATTCAGGAGTTGTTAGAGAGCATTGTTGTCGATAAGACCGTAGACGAGGACGAACCAGAATCCGAGCAGAGTCAAAACGTATCAGAAGACAAGGAATGGAACGACTCCGAGAAGCAGATACGATCTGTCTTGGCCAAACTGTCAAAGACTTCAGTCTCCCAGATCAGCAGACACACTTCAATTTTCCAACTTGGTTTGGACAGCATCAACGCCGTACAGCTTGCCGCAATGCTGCGAGACCAAGGTCTGCAGCTTTCTGCCTTGGATGTCATTGGGTTCCCTACCTGCGCTAAAATGGCGGCCCGCCTCGGACAATCTGCTAAGCAAGATGTTACGCTATATGATTTTGCCAAGTTCGAGCGAGAGATCGGAAATATCTCCCTTGACGACGGTATTGAGAAAGTTTTACCTTGCACGCCATTGCAATGCGCCATGCTTAGCAACTTCATCCAGTCAGGAGGCAAAGATTACCTGAATTACATGTCTTTTGCACTCAACGATGACGTTTCCCTTGATAAGGCTCGCGCGGCATGGGAATCTCTCTTCGAGCACCACCAAATGCTAAGAACCGGTTTCTTGCCAACACAACACCGCAATGCTTCGTTTGCAATGCTGCAATATTCCGCTCGTGGCACGAGCTTGCCGTTGGCGGTTCACGACAATGAGACAGAATCTTTCAACGTCACGAAATGGAAGTTGGATATCGCTCACGCCGTCCTCCAAACTCTGGAAAACCCACCGTGGGCGGTTGCACTTGACTGTCTCGACTCAGGCATCAACATGCATATCTTCATGCATCACGCACTCTACGACGCGTTCTCTCTTCAGCTAATCTTGCGAGATTTGGCTATTCTCCTCCAGGGCGGTCGTCCTAGCCAGCATCCACCAATCGACCGTGCTCTCTCCAATATCATGGCAGGCTCTGCAAAGGAGGATTCTGAAGAATTCTGGAAGAAAAAGTCGTCTGAGGTGGTAGTCAATCGATTTCCTACCCTCACTCCGCTATCCGAGGCATCTCCAGAACTTACCTCAAGTTCCAAGTCTGCCAGCATTAGTCTCGAGATTCTCACCGAAAAGGCAAGGCAAGCTGATGTGTCAATTCAAACCATACTGGAAGCAGCTTGGACTCGTGTTCTCTCTGCTTATCTCGGCGAAGAGGATGTCGTCTTCGGAGTGGTCTTGTCTGGCCGTATCGACGATGAGACAGAGGGTCTTGTATTTCCCTGCATCAACACCGTTCCTGTTATTGCACACAACAAGTCTTCCAACTCCGAGCTCCTGCAGCAAATGCTGGGGTACCACAACGAGCTATTGAAGCACCAGAATACACCCCTCGCCCAAATCCAGCGCTGGCTTGGTCACCAAAATGCCCAAGTCTTCGACACCCTTCTTGTGTATCAGCGGATACCTGAAGATGGTGCGTTGGATTTCCCTTGGAAGACAGTCAGTGATGAGGGCAATCTCGACTACCCTCTGTCCCTTGAAATTGAGCCCTTGGCCGGTGGTGAGATCCAACTTCGCGTTACCCATCGCACCGACGTTCTCCCTGCAGTCCAAGCTCGTCACTTAGTAGACCAGTTCGATGCCATCTTACAGCATCTTGCTCAGAATCCTACTGGAACTGAGGACGACTTGTGGGTTCATAATCCCTCAGTATTCTCCATTCTACCACCTCAGGAGCCGGACATTCCGTCTGAAGAGCAGTTCTTGCACCAATTCGTCGAGAGCAAGGCACGCACGCATCCAGACAAGGTCGCTTTGGAGTTTGTTACCGGGTTCCACGGGGAAACACCGATTTCTAAGCAGTGGTCCTTCAAAGAACTCAACGAGAAAGGCAATCAAGTCGCCAACCTTCTCTCACAGCACTCCAAAGTTGGGCATACGATCGCGATCCATTTTGACAAGTGCCCCGAGGCTTGCTTCTCCATTCTCGGCATTCTCAAGTCTGGCTGCGCTTTCCTAGCACTAGATCCATCCGCGCCAAAGGCGAGAAAAGAGTTCATACTCAAGGATTCCGGGGCTCTTGCGCTGCTCACCAACAATGATATCGATTTTGTTGTTGATCAGCCAATTCACCACATCGAGGATTCAGTGCTCGATACTGCCTCTAAGGAGTTCTCCAGTCCGGATTCCCTCAGCATTCAGGACAACTCCTATTGTTTATATACTTCTGGTACCACTGGAACGCCAAAGGGGTGCGAAATCACGCACGAGAATGCTGTTCAGGCCATGAAAGCATTTCAGAGGCTGTTTGAGGGTCATTGGGATGAGACCTCCAAGTGGCTTCAATTTGCTTCTTTCCACTTTGACGTGTCAGTCCTTGAGCAATATTGGAGTTGGTCTGTTGGTATGACTCTAGTTGGAGCCCCGCGAGATCTCATTCTCGATGACCTTGCCGGTACAATCCGAAACCTGGCAATCACCCACATTGATCTGACGCCAAGTTTGGCTCGCCTGCTTGACCCGGCGGAAGTGCCGAGCCTATCTAGGGGTGTTTTTATCACCGGTGGAGAGGCTCTAAAGCAGGAGATTCTCGACGTATGGGGACCCGTTGGCGTGATCTACAACGCTTACGGCCCAACTGAGGCCACAATTGGCGTCACCATGTACCAAAGAGTCCCCCACAACGGTCGCGCTTCCAACATTGGAAAGCAGTTTGACAATGTTGGTTCATATGTTCTCAAACCTGGAACTGACATTCCAGTCATGAAGGGTGCTGTCGGCGAGCTTTGCGTTTCTGGAAAGCTCGTCGGTAAGGGATACCTGAACCGCCCAGAGCTAACCCAGGAACGTTTCCCAGTCCTGAAAGGCTTCAACGAGCGCGTGTACCGCACCGGTGATCTCGTCAGATTACTTCATGATGGATGCTTCGACTTCCTGGGTCGTGCTGACGACCAGGTCAAGCTGCGCGGGCAACGTTTGGAAATCGGCGAAATCAACCACTCCATCCGCACCCGAGTTAGCGAAGTCAGCGACGTTGCCACTCTAGTCACCAAGCACGGCAGTCTGGACAAAGACATGTTGGTGTCCTTCGTCAGCCATAAGTCAACAGCTAATTCCAAGGCGGAGCTGCAAGTGCTCAACGAACCCACGACGGCCGCTCTTGTTCGGTCTGTTCAGAAGGCCTGCAGAGACACACTTCCCGGCTACATGGTTCCTTCGTACATCTTCCAAGTTCCCCGCATTCCCCTTTCTCCGAACAACAAAGCAGACATCAAGCAGCTTAATCAGCTTTTCAGAACTTTGACTCCAGAGACGTTGGTTCAGTTGTCACCATCCTCGAGGACAACTTCAGAGCCAACCAATGAGGTGCAGCGGCAAATCGTATCAACAGTACAGGAGTTCCTCGGCGACGACACTCCAGTCTCGCTGTCATGTAACATCTTCGATCTTGGGGTTGACTCAATTTCAGCTCTCCGACTCTCCAGACTGATGCGTAAGAATGGTTTGTCAGGCGCGGCGCCCAGGGTCATTTTGAGAAATCCCACTCTCGGCGATCTCGCTGAAGTCCTTCAGCAGACCAATTCAGCAAGTGAGGGCAGCGGAGTTCACGAGGCACGCCAGCTCATCCAGGCATTTGGCCACCGATACAGATCTCTAGCCGTGCAAGAGCTTTCTCTCCCAAGTGATGGGGACATTGAGTACGTTGCGCCGTGCACACCGCTGCAAGAGGGCATGCTCTCGAGATTCATGTCCGATCAAGACGAGGGCGCCTACTTCACTGCTTTCCGGCTGAAGCTTTCATCCGAAATTTCCATTGAAAGGTTGAGGGTTGCGTGCGAGCAGCTTGTAAAATCCCATGCAATCCTGAGAACCAGTTTCATCCAAACGCCTGCCGGCTTTGCACAGGTTGCCCTCAAGTCTTCTGAGCTTTCTTGGAGAGACCTGAGAGTCCTTGAGCCTGCTGAAGTCGAGACACAACTGGCAAGCGCAATGCCAGCACTCATCCACAAGAACAGCCGATGTGTTTCCGATCCTCTGGAACTGATCGTAGCTCGAGTGGGCGAGGAGACAATTTTAGTTGTTCACATCTTCCACGCGCTGTACGACGGCGTGACATTTGAGACAATGCTCCGTTGGGTTTCCGATGAGTATTCGCAGAAAGAACACCAACCAGCCCCCTCGTTTTTGGATACCCTTGCACACGGACCGCTCGCAAATTACGATTCCAGCCGCCAATTCTGGACCGAACACCTCAGCAACTGCCTTTTTGACACTATTCCAAGACTTCAGGGTGGTGATCCCTCGAGCATAATCACAAGGACGAAAACTTACTCGGCCCGCAACCTTGAAACGTTACGCAGATCGCTGAATGTCACACTTCAGTCAGTTGTTCTTGCCCTGTGGACATCTGTTTTCAAAAAGCATTTCCCCATCAATGCCGCGACCGGCGTAATTGTGTCTGGCCGGTCTATTGACATGGACCAAATTGAAAACACCATCGGTCCTTTGTTCAACACGCTGCTCTTCTACGCTGGCCTCAAGGAGGGGGACACTTGGCTATCTCTGATCCAAAAGTGTCATGAGTTTAGCACGGCAGTCTTACAGTTCCAGCACGTGCCGCTGCGGAACATTCAAAAGTGGTGCACTAAGTCCAGAGGTCGGCCCAGCTTTGAAAATCTCTTCGTTTTCCAAGTTGAACAAGCTCGTTCGGCGGAGCCCTCAGGCATGTGGTCCATTATGGACGACTACAGCGTCTCTGACAATCCCCTCGCCTTTGAAGCGTCGTCAACCCCCGATGGTCAACTCCGAGTCCAGATTGTGGCACACGGAGATGTTGCTGACGAGGCTATGATGAACTCTCTCTTTGAGGAGATTGATGAGGCGATGGTAGATGTCACCTCTCGCGCAACCTACTCTCTGCCTGTCAGTGCCAATGTCTCTCGTGATGCTTCGACTGCCGCATCGCCCCGCACCCCGTTGACTTCACGACCCGAGTCCATTGACGGCGACTTCAAGGACCACGAGCTTAACCTGAACATCTCAGACTTTGAGTGGACACCCGCCGCTTTGGTGCTGAGGAAAGAGATTGCTGCTCTCTCAGGTGCTTCTGAGGAAAGTATCATAGAGAACATGGCCCTTCTGGAATTGGGCTTGGACAGCATCGACCTTGTGAAACTATCTGCAAGGCTCAAGCACTCCGGTCACAATCTCACATTGTCTCAACTCATGAAGTCGCAAACCATCGCCGTCATGTCTTCTATTATCAATCGTAACAAGCCTGTCTCGGAAGACTCAAATCAGCAATCAAACTACGACGACCTTAAGGCAAAGCTGTGGGAGGCCGTGGAGTCCACTAATTTCGAAATGCAACAAGTCGAGGCCGTCTTGCCTCCCACACCATTGCAAGAGTCCATGATTGCCGACATGTTGCAATCGGACTTCGAGCAGTACTTCAATCACGACGTCCTAGAGTTGGCCAGCGGTGCTGATGTCGATAAGTTCGAGCAAGCTTGGCAACAGGTCGTTCAGAGATCGCCTATCCTGCGAACTGTGTTTGTGCAGATCGAGGACCCTTCTGTTGATCAAACTTTTGCCCAAGTAATCTCGAAGTCCAGTCATGTGTTGGTCAACAAGCTTCAGACAGGTGATGTGACTGAAGTGCAGAGCATTGTCGATAAGCATAAGCGTAATGCTCGCGAAGCTCAAGGGCATTCGAATCTTCTGCAGCTGTCTGTCATTCCAGGAGATAACAAGTCTCTTGTCGTCTTGTCGATTTCGCATGCCCTTTACGATGGATGGTCTCTGGCTTTGCTTCATCAAGACGTTGCTGCAGCATACCAAGGCCAGCTTTCCGATCGACCGCAGACTGAGCAATTCCTTCAAAGCTTGGTCCAGACGCCGACAGATCAATCCAGAAAGTTCTGGTCGCAGTACCTCGCCAACACACGGCCATCACTGCTTTCTGAAAGGCAGCTCTCGGCTACATCACCGGGTGACCACACCTACCGGACGGAGGCTGTCTCAAGTACTGGACTTGACCGCGTGACAGACTTCTGCAAACGGCACGCTGTCAGCCTGCAAGTTCTCGGCCAGGCTTGCTGGGCATCAACTCTTGCGACACTTCTCCAGACTCTCGAAGTTAGCTTCGGTGTCGTCCTCGCAGGGCGCGACTCGGAACCAGCCCAAGCCCTCATGTTCCCGACGATGAACACTGTGGCTGTACGCTGCGTTCTTCACGGCTCTGCCACCAACTTCCTTCGCTACCTTCAAGAAACCATGGGCGACATCGTCGAGTTCCAGAATTACCCCCTGAGAAAGGCACAGGCCATCGCTGGAGGGCGACTCTTCAATACGCTTTTCATTCTGCAGAAGAACCCCGAGTCTGGACCTGAAAACCCTCTGATGAAATCAGTCCAAGGCTCCTCTGCGACCGAGTTTGCCGTCTGCGCGGAGCTGGAAGCTACGTCAAAGAATCTCATCTGGCGCATTGCCGGGCAAAATGCGTATGTGTCCGAGACGATGACCAACCAATTACTCCATCATCTCGACAGGGCGCTGCAGTACATCATCAGCAACCCCGAGGAGAACCTACTTCGCTTTGAGGACGACAATGTTTCCATATGCCAGCTTCCCTCATTCCAGGCGAGGAAGGCGCCTGCTGATTCTTCTACGAAAATCACCAAATCGGACGAAGCCACAGAGTGGACGGGTACAGAGAAGCTCCTGCGCCGGGTGCTCTCACAAGCTGCAGGGGTCGAAGAGAGCTCAATCAGCAAGAGCCATACACTCTACAACCTAGGCCTAGATTCGATCAGCGCCATCAAGGTCTCTGCGCTCCTTCGCAAGGAAGGATTGAACCTTGGCGTAAAGGCCCTGTTGACATCGACCTCAATTCAATCTATGGCTCAGCAGGCTCAGTCAAGCACCTCCACTGAGATGCAGCAATCCCCAGACACCCCTTCTGCTGGGTTTGAACTCCCAAGCACAATCGATAGTGAAGCCCTGCTTACCAGTGCTGGTATTGCCGAGTCTCAGGTGCTAGCAATCCTGCCTCCTCTGCCAATGCAAGTCTACATGATGTCAGCATGGCAGAACTCCGAGGGCCGAGTCTTCTACCCAGAGTTCTCCTACCGTGTTCAAGGGTCTGTGACGGTCGATCAACTGCAAGGGGCATGGTCCGCTGTCGTTGAGTCAGAGCCGATTCTCCGGACATGTCTCGTTGCCACAGGTCAGAGGTCGCTACCTTTCGTGCAGATTGTTCTCCGTCCCGATGCCGATGGACCTCACAAGCACATCGCCATGCAAGGAGAGGCCCCTACTCCAGAGTCTCACACGGAATCGTGCTGGCCCCAGGTACACCTTTCCGCAAAGCAAGAGGATGATAAATCTTGGCTGCTTCAACTGAAACTTCAACACTCACTTTACGATGGATTCAGTCTACCAGCACTCATGCAACACCTTCTATCCACGATTCAAGGACAAGACTCCAAGAAGGTCATGGAGCTGGACTTGTGGAGGTCGTTCCTTGGTGCTCACCATCACCACGAGGTGAAAGACGACAATAGGAAGTTTTGGACGGAATACTTTGAAGGCATCATTCCCGCCACGTCATCTAAGCTCGACGACACGACCAAATCGTTGGAGCGAGTGGCACTCCTTCAACGCTCTGCTATTTCTGGTATCGCAAACCTACAAGGCTCATGCTCCCAGGCCGGCGTGGGTCTTCCTGCCCTCTTTTTCGCCGCGGCTGCCAAGACTCTCCAAAAGTCGAAAATTCTCTCGTCGTCCTTGAACACCAAAGAGGTCATATTCGGTATCTACTACGCTAACCGATCCCTCGCCGATAATCTGCAACCGACGTTTCCCACGCTCAACTTGGTTCCTCTCAAGGTCCGGGTCGATGAGACTTCCAGTATCATCACCATCGCTCAGCGAGTGCAACAAGACTTGCATCTCATCTCATCACACTCAACCGTGGGGTTGTGGGAGATTAAGGACTGGACTGGGCTAGAAATTGACTGCTTCGTCAATTTCCTTCATCTCGGCGACGACGACAAGGAGATCCTCCAGGCAGGAGATGTCTCGTTCGAGCTCGTTTCGAATGGAGACGAGATTGAGGGCCTGACCAAGACGGATGGCAACTCAGGTCTATCATCGAGCGTCTCTGCTCGATGGTTAGTGGACAATGCAGTTCGAGACGCATTTCCAGTAAGTTCCTACGTGAATCAGTTCATAAGATGTCTTGCTAATATGATTATAGGACGCTGTGGATATCGAAGCGTCGATAAAGGAAGGCGCAATGGATATTGGAGTGTTTGGGTCAGCGGCTAAAGTGTCCCAGTCCTCCGCTGGCGAGCTTATCAGCGTGCTTAGTTGCATTTTGAAGGAGTTATGAGGATATTAGAATTTTCATGTTTGACAAGTTCAATTGTTATAGTTCATATTTCACATGTTTTCGTTTAATTTGGTATCCACCTAAGTACTTCCAACTCAATGATTGTGTCTTTCACCAAATATTTAGCCGCGGGGTGCACCATCGGTCAAGAGTAGATCGGCTTTTATGACCAGCGACACACGAAGATCACGGAGGCGTAGTGTGGAAAGCGGTCATGTCCAGTCCACAATTTGCTAAGAATGAAGGAGTGCACTCGAAAATGCTGGTAGAAGCTGTATGGGGCCAGTAGAAATCACAGTAGAAGAAGGCAATGGTATGTCGCCTGTATGATATGATGGAAATAGCTGAAGTAGTTGAGTACTTAAAGTGACAATAGTTCTTCATCGTTCCATTATCGAACCCGAAAACAAGCTGAAAGTGTATTGAGTGGGAATCTATGCTTTGTTTCCGTAAATGGCATGGATGGTTTCCTTAAGTTCTGAGGAGTCGATCTTTCTAACTAAGGCATAGGAAAGCGTGACGAATTTTGGCATCCGCGGATTCTTACTAGCCAACCCCGTCTGATTGCTTCGCTTTTAGTACTCTGATATTCTCATTTTTTCTTGTTTAGTGCATGCGATACTGTGAATGCCCAATCCAGCTTTTGCCTTGTTTCGAATACATTTCAATTGCGATGTTGATCAATGCTCTCAGATGGAACCCACAAACTGTGGGACTGACGACACAGAAGATGATGAAGCTACCTATGTATTCAGATCTGAACCAATTTAAAGAGCCCAAAGAATCAACAATACTCCATTTACCTATTTTGATTCTGAATTTGGAACACAAGTCTGACTGACGGGTGTTCAGAGATATCTGCATTCTGTGCTTGGGAACCAATTTCAGTTCACATTGGGAGTCTGATACCTTTGAAGGGTTGGAGGTCGTCTAACTTTACAAAAATGGTGCACATATGACCATGCACTCATATAGTCTCTGATTAACATGAAACAATTCGCCTCAAAATCTCAGACCCAGACCGACTTAGTTTTATCAACATGGTTCACAAATGTATTGAGACATGAATATGGACGTGATTGGTTTTAAAATTGTTTGGCGCAAGAAGAATGGCCTCAACTACGCAGTCAGTGGTTCTGACATTTCAGATTGCAACAAAGAACTTGGCGAATGGCTCTTGATCTCGCCATCGGACTAGTCATTTTCTAAAAGCCTACCTATAGCCGAGGCTGACCATATTGTTGGTGTTCTGGGAGCACAAGCCTGGAAAGATTCTGGGCAGTGGCTATGGCGAATTCGGATATCAAGCCCAGATCGATAAGGTCGTCCCATCGTGCCGGCGGGCGATCCCGAATCAGGCAGGTGTGCGGCTCACTGCGCACAGGTCATCTGCCAAGACCATCACACGGGCATAGGGGGTCAGCCCGCCCCCGTATGATGTATCGTTACCCTTTCCCCCGAGCTTCGGAATGTTCCTTTCTTCTCCCGATGTCCTCTGAATCTGCACATCTGAGTGAGAGTCTGGGGAACATCAGGAAGGAGCGGGCTAGAGGGTTGGCGCGCGGCATTTCTTGACTTCGTTGGTGATCCCATGCTTCCGATGCCGCTTGCAAAAAGTCCTTGGTGCCTATGGGGGCCATAATCTGACCATAAATATCCATTTCTAGCAAGTGCAGAGAAGCGAAGGATGACCTCCTGCATCTGTGCCATTTGGCGAGTACGTTCCTGCATCGTGGCGCTGTTACTTGCCCGTATCCGAACACCTGCATTGCAACGCTGAGCTGACCAGAGAGGGCAGCTGAGTAAATTACAACGAGTTGAAAACATGCCTTGACAGCATCATCGATTGCGACCTGCTTAAAGCCAACCCAACCCCACTGCAACGCCCTGGTCGAGCGCTTGCAAAAGTTCAGAGTCCACATTCGCAGGACCTGCTGCTCAAGCTTATTTCTGTCGTGATTGCAAACTTCGGCCAGATGTTGCACCAGAGGCGGTGCTTCGCGCCAATGACTCGTCGGAGGCGATGAGACCCTGGAGAACTTCGGTCAGCAGCGCCGTCCAACTGCAGTTTAAGGTATCGATCCCGCTGTGGGCTCGGGGCGCTGTGGGGTCTTGTCTCCGAGATGATTTGCAGGCTTATTTTTACGTGATCGTTCCCTATCGCTTGCACAAGGCACGCGACCTTTGATAGCGGCTGTTGTCCTGCATAACATGAATCAGTTTATGTACTAGTTCAACGTTCTTTGAACCGACCTCGAAGTCTGTTCGGAATATCGAAGCCGTTCAAGAGTCTAAAATAAGCTTATTCTTTCCTTCCCTTTATTCCAACGGTTCGTCCAATGTTCAAGTATTCCAGAACGAATGTCCTCTTTCAGGCAATCGTAATCCCCCTGGACATTCTTACCTGGAGAACTCGGAGCATGCTGCTGCAGACTACCGAAAACCCCCATATCGCCAAGACACCACTGCCCACCAAGCCGTCGCCAAGACGCCAACAGCGCAAACGAAGCATTAATGCAACCCTCCCACCGCTTAATCTCAAGGGTGCAAGCAAACTACCTTCCCTCTTCTCTCTCGTATCGAAGCCGATAGACGCGAGCTTTGGCATTGGCGGATCACGCAAGCACATCCAAACGCGCTCGTCGTGCAGAATCATGACCCCGATATCGACATCAACTTCCCAAATGATGCCCCATTCATGATGGACGGGTTCATCCGTACGACCAAGGGAATTGCCGAAACCCCATATCGTGCCTGGTCAGGCTTCTTCACTGTGGGCTTGCTGCGACCGGGGGTCAGGCGGCATGTTGAACCGAAGAGGAAGCTCTTTGGCTGCAAAGCTGATGAGCTCGTGAACTGAAGCCTCGAGACATCAAAGCCTTTGGCGTATTTAAACATCATGGCGGTCCCCTCATTTTCATGTTCTTCAGGAGCTCAGCAGGCACTCTCAAGTCCCCGGCCCCCATTTCCCTCTTTCCACCTCGTTCGTTCCTCGTCGTCGCCGCCATGTACCGATCCATGAAGTATTTGGCCCTGCTCGGCCTCTTGGCTCCGGCCTACGCCCACCCTGCCCACGGCCACAAGTCGGCCCTCGCCCGCCGTGGCGTCGATATCGAGGCTTTCCGTCTGCCCCAGCTTGGTTCTTACACCAACGCCACGCTGACGGAATCGAACCCGCCTATCGCGCTCCTCAAGCGTGAGAGCTATGTTGACACGGCCACTGAGCTTGTCCAGAAGCTCGCGCCCAACGCGGAGTTCCGCGTTGTCAGTGACCACTATGTTGGAACCAACGGCATTGCCCACGTCAACTTCAAGCAGACTGCCCACGGTCTCGACATTGACAATGCCGACTTCAACGTCAACGTAAGTCAACTTCTGTTTTGCGATGAACGACCAGATAGACTGACATCATGATAGATCGGCAAGGATGGAAAGGTCTTCTCTTTCGGTAACAACTTCTTCTCCGGAGAGATCCCTGAGGCCAGCCCCCTCAACAAGCGCGACTTCAAGGACCCCGTTGCCGCTCTCAACGGCGCCAAGGATGTCCTCCAGCTTCCCGTCGAGTCCGCTGACGCTTCTGCCGAGGCGAAGGAGGGCAAGGAGATCTACACCATCAAGGGTACCTCCGGTGCCGTCTCTGACCCCGAGGCCAAGCTCGTCTACCTTGTCAAGGGCGACGGCTCCCTTGCCCTCACCTGGCGTGTCGAGACCGACATCACCGACAACTGGCTTCTGACCTACGTTGATGCCCAGTCCGGTGGTGAGGTCCACGGTGTCGTTGACTATGTCTCCGACCTTGCCAACTACCGCGTCTACCCCTGGGGAGTCAACGACCCCACTGAGGGTGACCGCGTCCTCGTCTCTGACCCTTGGGACATCGCTGCTTCCGAGTTTACCTGGCACAGCGACGGCCCGGGTTCCAACCACACCACCACCCGTGGCAACAACGGTATCGCTCAGTCCAACCCCAGCGGTGGCAGCACTTACCTGAACAACTACCGCCCCACCAGCTCGTCCCTCAACTTCGACTACGAGTACACCACCAGCCTGAGCACTCCCTCTGCTTACATCGATGCCTCCATCACTCAGCTGTTCTACACCGCCAACCACTACCACGACCTGCTCTATGAGCTCGGCTTCAACGAGGCGGCTGGTAACTTCGAGATCAACAACAACGGCCAGGGCGGCGCTGGCAACGACTTCGTCATTCTGAACGCCCAGGATGGCTCTGGTACCAACAACGCCAACTTCGCCACTCCTCCCGATGGCTCTCCCGGCCGTATGAGAATGTACCTGTGGACTCAGTCTACTCCTCGCCGTGACTGCAGCTTCGAGGCCGGTGTTGTCATCCACGAGTACACTCACGGTCTGTCCACTCGCCTGACTGGTGGCCCTGCCAACTCCAACTGCTTGAACGCTGTTGAATCCGGCGGTATGGGTGAGGGCTGGGGTGACTTCTTCGCTACTGCCATCCGCCTCAAGCCCACCGACACCCGTGCCACCGACTACCCCATGGGTGCCTGGGTCTACAACAACCCCGCCGGTATCCGTACCGTCCTCTACTCTACCTCCATGACCACCACTCCCAACACCTACTCCACCATCAACGGCATCACCTCCGTCCACCGCATCGGTGAGACCTGGGCTACTATCCTGTACGAGGTTCTCTGGAACCTTATCGACAAGTACGGCAAGAACGACGGCCCCCGCCCCGAGTTCAACAACGGCGTTCCCACCGACGGGAAGTACCTCACTCTCAAGCTCGTCATCGACGGCATGGCTCTGTATGTTCCCTTCCCTTCTTCTCCCTATAACAAAGCTAACATATCCCTCAGGCAACCCTGCTCCCCCAACTTCATCCAGGCTCGTGACGCCATCCTCGACGCCGACACTGCTCTCACCGGTGGTGCCAACCAGTGCGAGCTCTGGACCGCCTTTGCCAAGCGTGGTCTGGGATCCAACGCTGTCTACAGCTCTTCCAGCCGCCGCGACGGCTTCAC